CAGGGCCGAGCTGGACGCCGCGCGCGAGACGCAGCCGCGCCGCCTCAGGGCCCTGCACCCCTCAGCCGGGCACCACGGCCCTAATAAACACTGCAGCGGACCCCGGCGTGGCTTTGTGGGGGGAGCGGACCCTGGCGTGGCCTTTGCGGCTGCTGATGCTGCCGCCCCCCCCGTCCGGGGCGGCGGCCTGTGGCCAGGGCCCGAGCGACCGCGTCTGGAGGGCCAGGAGGGTGTGCCTGCCGGGCTGGCCACTGGGCAGAGCACACAGGCAGCCCTGCCAGCTGAGAGCCCCTTGCCCATGTCTGGCTGGCACAGGGTGGGGCAGCCTCTACGGGGGCGTCTCGCAGGTGAAATGTGGGGTCCTGCCGTGGGTGGTCACCTGGAGATCACCTGGCTGCCCCCGGGGCCGCCTTGTGCACCTGGCGCTGCTGGGTGAGGCGGCCACCTGGGACCACTGCCAGTGGCTGGGGCCGCCGATGGCAGCGGTGGGGCCCCACAGTAGCTAGGCCCAGGTTGGCATCGGGGGCCAGAGTCCCAGGAGGACACGGGCGGCCCTGGCCTTGTGCCTGTCCGCGGCCTGGGGCTGCTTCCTGTGGGGCTCCGGGGCCAGTGTCCCAGCTCAGCTGCAAAGGACGTCGGCCCTGGGCGGAGGCCACCTGTGGTGGGGCTGCCAGAGGCCTGTCGGGAGCACCCCGCCCCGCCCAGCAGAGGCGGCCAGTCCGTGGGGACCCCGGGCAGGCCCCTCAGAGCCCTGTTTGCGGCCTCTCCTGGGGAGGAGCAGTGTGTGCCTGGCGGGTGACGGTGGCATCTCCGCTGGCCACCGTGTGTCCCCTGGCGACGTTGGGGGCCAGGGAAACCCCGGCCTTGGTGTGGACAGAGGTCGCTGGCCAGGCCAGCTTGGTCGGGTGCCTGCACAGGCTGCGGGCTCCGGCCCAGTCAGCCTGGCCCGAGGGCTGCCCGCCGGGGCTGCTGGCAGGGTTCAGGCCAGGGTGCTGGACTTGGGGTTCTAGCCTCATCTCCGCCGAGCTCCCCGGGACAGACCGTGCTGTGGCCCCCTGCGAAGCTGCAGGGCCCACATCCAGCGCGCCCCCACCCAGTGGCTACCCCAACCCGCCGGGGCCTGGGGCACCTCCCGCAAGGCCGGACGCCACCGCCAGGGACGTGACGTGGCCTGTGGCAGGCGGCCTCACGACACCCACGCCCCCAGTGGCACCTGCCCTCGGCCCCCTCGGCATCGCACCCACTGCCCAGGTGGTTGAGGAAGAAGGGGGGTACTCGCCCCACACAGGAGGGGCCTGGCCAGCCCCAGATGCTGGTGCCGGAGTGGCGCTCGCCGGCCCCTCCCCAGGGTGGGCGCACGCGTCGTGGGGCTGGACCCGGGGCCCTGGGGTGGCGCGCCACAGAGCCAGCCAGACCGCAGTACTGACCCTGGGCCGGGAGGCCAGGGCAGCCGACTGCTCCCGCAGGGGCCACCAGCACCACCAAGGATGGCCAGACCCAGGCCCTGGTGCTGCCCACGGTGGGGCTGCGGCTGAGAGGGCTGGGGGAGGGGGCGGGTCGGCCAGGAGGCCGCAGGGCGGGGCACCGCGCCACGGGGTCCCCCCACGCTGCTGTGCCCACAGCCGCACCTCCGTGCTCACGGAGGGTGCAGCCGGCCAGAGCCTGGGTGCGGGGGGCGCCCTCAGCACGCGCGGAGCAACGGCGGGGCGGGGCGGGGCGGGAAAGCCAGAACACGCGGTAAATAAGGGGTCCTGCGGGCGTCCGCCTCCCGCCGGCCGAGGTCCCCTGGCGAAGGTCGGGAAGGGCCCAAAGCGCCCGGACCCGAACGTCCCCCGGGGCGGCTGCAGGGCGGCTGGCCGGGGCCGC